AGGCCAACAGGACTGTGTCACATTACAAACATGGGCACAACAGGACCCATGTCCTGCCAAAGAAGCCAAGTTGGTTACACAGGCCTCTGGCCTTCCAGAGCAGTGCAGTAGTGATCCAGAAAGTCCCACTCCCTGCTGCCCAGTTTCCATGGGCACAGGAAAAAAGCAAAGGAGGAAGTTCAGCAGGCTTCCTACTGCCCTATTCTGGGAACCATCGGCCATGTTCTAGCCCCATTCCCTGTGGGAAGCCAGGAATGCCAGGAGTTCATGTCTATGCCCACCAACAATAGCTTCCCTCTCCCAGCCCAAGGACCCCACACTGAACAGCACCACCTTCACTAGGCTCCAGTCAGAGTCCTTTGCTCACTGCTCAGTCACTCTTACCTGAACCTACCCACAATCTCCCCAGCCTAGCACTAGCTATTAGTCCCATGGCTGCTCAAATCTTCCAATTCAAAGCCTATGGCTCACCATCCATTCAAGATTCTTTTTGCCCTCTGGTAATAAATCAATAAAATATAAAATGAACAAAAAACCCAAATGTATAGGAAATTGTATGACAGATCAGGAACAAGCCCTGTATATGCATATTTTACAAAGTCTGCACTGGACTATATATTGGTACTAAGTGTCCAACTGTGTGAAAATTACGGAACAGTTTACACTCTTCAATACACTCAACCTATGTCAGCAAAATATCCAGAATAAAAAAAAGTAATAAATAACTTAAAATGAAAAACTAAAATGGTATATCAAAATCCATGAGAAACAAAGAAGAACTTGGCTAAAATGTCAAAGCCAGGCACAGTAGCACATACCTATAATCCCAGCTGAAAGTTCAAGGCCAGTTTGGACAACTAAATGAAACCCTATCCCAAAATGATTTTTTTTTTTTTTAATGCCAGGTATGGTGGTGCATGCCTGTAATCCCAGCACTCAGGAGACTGAGGCAAAAAGATTGCTGCAAGTCTACATAGCAAGTTCAAGGCCAGCCTGTAATACAAACAAACAACAACAAAAACAAGATAGATATAACTCAAATATCCATCAACTGATACATGGATAAATAAAATAGGATATATCCATACAACTGGATATTATTTGACCATAAAGGAGGAAAGTTCTGATATATTATACAACTTGGATGAATCATGAAAACATGCTAAGTGAAGGAAGACAGTCACAAAGGCCACATACTATATGACTCTAATGACATGAACTGACTAATCAGATCCAAGGGAACGATAAGTTATTTGGTTTCCAGGGGCCAAAGGAAGGAAGGGTTGGGCATGACTATTAATGGGTATGAGGTTTCTCTTTGGGATGACAAAATGTGCAAAAATTAATAGTGGTTATTGTTGCAGAATAAATTAAAGTCACTAAATTGTTTAAAGGGAGATATTTATAGTATATAACTTACAGTTCAATAAAAAAAATTAAGAAAAGAGATTGACGGGTGGGGCCTTGGCTCAGTGGATCTGCCGTCTGCCTCGAAAGTGCAAGGGCTTCCCCAGTACAAAAAAGAAAAAAGAAAAAAAAGAAAAGAAGAGACTGACAACAGTAACTGGTTTTTTCCCTTTTGTGCATTGATGAGTGAATGGTCTTCAAACTGAGCTACATCTCCAGATGTTTTTTGTTTTTTTATTTTGAGATAGGGTCTTACTAAGTCCCTAAATTTATTTGTTTAGGGCTGTTTTCTTTTTCTTTTTTTTTTTTTTGTATATTTAACAAATTTTATTTAATTTTTAAGCTAAGTTTATTGGTACATTTTAGATATACATAATGATTACATTTATCAGGGAATTTCTACCTGTACATGATACATTTGATTCCTCTTTTTTTTCCTTTTCTCTCCCCTCCCTTCAAACCCTCTTCCCCTCCTTATTTACAAAGCTTTGTTTCCCAAAGTCTTTGTAAATATGGAGGGGTGGAGGATTTGAAGGGAGGGCACAGGAATGGAAAAAAAATAAGAACCAAGATACATCGTGCAAAGGTACAAGTTCCCAATGATGAATGCATTGTAGTCCTAAAATGTACCGATAAACTTCATGGAAAAAAAAGTTGTTTCTACTTTATCCTTTTCTCATTTTTTTCCCCTTTCCTTCCTTTCCCCCTAGTTCCTCTTTCCTTTTGAACAATTTCTTCCTATTTCACAATATCTATTATTCATTTGAGTCCTTATTTATACTTTATTTCACTTGAGTATGATCTCACGGTGCATCCATTACCTAGAAATGTCTCGTTTATCCTTCTTTATGGCTGAGTAGTACTCCATTGTAGCAAAAACCACAACTTTTTTATCTACTCATCGGTTGATGGGCATTGGGACTGTTTCCAAGATTTAGTTATTACAAACTATAAACATGGGAATGCATATATCACTGTGGTATGATGCTTTTAGTTCTTTCAGGAAGATATCCAGGAGGGGAATAGCTGGGTCAAATGAGACCTCTAATTCTAGTTTTTTTCAGGAATTTCCATACTGATTTCCACAGTGGTTGTACCAATCTATACTCCCACCAACAGTGGAGAAGGGTTCCTTTCCGCCCCCACACCTGACATCATTTGTTGTTGGTTTTCTTTTCTTTTCTTTCTTTTTTGTGGTACTGGGGATGGAACTCAGGATTTTGCACTTGCAAGGCAGGTGTGGTACCACTGAGCTAAATCCCTAGCCTGTTGTTGGTTGATTTCTTTTCTTTCTTTTTTTGGTACCAGGACTTGAAATTGGGTCCTTGCATTTGCAAGGCAGGCACCAGAACCACTGAGCTAAATCACCTGCCTGGCTGATTTCTTAACAATAGCTATTCTTTCTGGAGTGAAATGGAATCTCAGCATTGCATTAATTTACATCTCTCGAATGACCAGTGATGTTGAACATTTTTTTTATATATGTATTTGCTGTTTGTATTTCTTCATCTGAGGAGTGCATATTCATCTCAGATGCCCATTTTTGGATTGGGTCTTTAAATTTGGAAGATCTGATTTTTTCAGTTCTTTATATGTTCTAGATATTAGTTCTGCCTGAGAAACAATTGGCTAAAACATTTTTTCCCTCACTGTGGATTATCTTTTCACTCTCTTGGTGATTCCTCTTGCTGTGCAAAAGCATTTAAATATGATGAGATCTCAGTTGCTGGTTTTATTTTATTATCATTTTTTAAAAAACTAAGTCCCCTAAATTGCCCAGGCTAGGCTTGAACTTGGGATCCTCCTGCCTCAGCCTGTCAGAGAGCTGGGGTTACAGGCATGAGCCACCATGCCTGCTCTGTTCTTTTTTTAAATTAATAGTATCAACCATGATGTTTTTTAGGTTCAATAATATTAAATCAGCTATTTTACTAACAAATTTAAGAGAACCAGATAATTAAGAGAATACAAAAAGAATGATGCCACAAGAAACAAGTTACACAAACCAATGAGTCTTCAAAAAATGTCTTTGCCAAAAGACCAACTGGCCCTGAAGGATTCCCTGATAAATTTTTCTAAACTCGCAAACAAATAGTAATCTATACCCACATCCTTGAAAGTAAAGAACCCCTCCCAATGACCTCTTCTCAACCAAACCAGACATATTAAATTATCTCAATATACACTCATAAGGCATTTATAAATATAACCATTTTTTTCCCCCAAGTAGTGCTGATGCTTGAACCCAGAGAGCCTCCCCACTGAGTCACGTTCTCAAGTTAATAAATTCCAGGTTAAATGTTTCCAATTAAATATTTTGGAGCAAGGGAGGAATTTTTTCTTTTCTTTTCTTTTTTAAGCCATAATCTACCAGCTCCTAAAGTTCCCTGACATATAGATCTCAATTCCTCCACTCCTCCTTCCTCCATATGAAGTCAGGGGTAATTAGCTGCTTACTAACAAATCTCATTACATCTCACCTATGCTCAAAACAATCTTGCAGTCTCTATTGCTCATAAAAGGAGGTCCAGACCTTTAGTAGGAAATACAAGATTCTTTCCCCAACTGGCTCATCCTGACTCTCCCCAGGGAATCATTCATCTCACCAAGACAATTCAAGGAGGTCTCACAGGCCTCACTGTCCCACTGCCCAGAACCACCTGGAGAACTACTGGCCCTCAACACCTGGCTGAAACACCAGAGGCTGCATTCATACTCCTGCCACCCTCCTTCAAACATACCTGCAGCTATCAAGGGGAATTCATCTTTGAATCCCCACATACCTGATAAGTACCTAGCACTCAGAAAGTGCCAGCAGGATTCTGTGTGTCACAGGCATGCGTAGATGACCAAAGCCAAATCACAAGGATTCTTCCTGCCTCTGTGATGGATTCAAGGCAATTCACATCATGTTACTTCTGCCATTCAAGAGACAAGTGGACTCAAGACCATAATCTGGAAACTATCAGCTCATTGTAGAAGCTTCTGCTTAACAACTCTGTAAAGTCCAGTATTAACCCTAAGCCACTGCACAGAAAACAGCCGAAAGAAGGCTAGAGGACGACCATCAGCAGGACCCAGAGAATTCCCATTCAGCCAAGCAGTTATCAACCTAGGGCTACAAACTGAGACATCTTAACTGTATTTCCTATTTGTTCAGAAATCACCTCAACCATGTTCCATGTGGGAAGCCACATAAAGACTTTGATCGCTAACATGGTGAAGTAACCAAGGAGCCAGGCTTGGCAATACATGCGTTCCAGTATATGCCTGAGTCCCAGGCAGGTGAGCAAAGGCCAATGGGAGCAAGGGCTACTGAGGCGTATCCCCAGTGAGATCAAGCTCAGGTCAACTGGTTTTGACAACAAACAGTTCAAATTCCATGAGTGACAATTATTTGCCAATTTTTGGAATGGAAGCTCACATGATCTGAGCTCAACAGCTACCTTTCAGGATCTTCCTCCCAATGGCCTCTCTTGAGATAGATGCACAGCAAACAAAGTCATCCCCAGCCTCTCAGTTACCACCATGACTTTAAATGATCAGGATGAAGCAGAAAAGCAAAACAAAGGTTCTTTTAAACAGTGACTCACCAGGAAGTCTGTTCATGTTGACACCTTGAGCTGAGAGTCCTATTCCCATGTACCTTCAAAAAAAGCATACATAAAATTTCTGGTTATCAAAATGATTATGCATCTCTCTTCTCAAATAGTTCTTGATTAGACAAAAAAAATGAGAAAAGTAATGAATGTTGACTCCTTTACTAGTTGCTCTCAGAGAACATCTACATTTTGATTTTATAATGGAAAGCACCTAAAGGTTTTTTCAGCTAGAGAAACAGGAGGTAGTGTGTTTAATCATGTCCCACTGGCTTTGGCTTCAGAGTAAAGTGCCCCGAAATCATGGTGTCCAGCCCTTGGCTTTCTGGTTCCAGCTAAGCCAACAGAATCTATACCTAGGAAGTACCTAAAGTAAGTAGCTCAATCTTAGGTAATGACTGACTAGGCAATGCCAGATCAAACCCACAGGGATAAGCCACTCTGAAGTAAGGAGCACAAGACCCCTCACACTAAGCTTCTTTTCTGGGTGTCTCAAAACTCATTCTCCTCCACCATATACCCTGCTGGCCTCCCAGACCATGCAAAGCTGGAAGGTGGCAAGGTGAGACCCCCAGAAATCCCCTACTCCTCTCACCCCAGGTGTAAGTTACTCACAGCAAGTGCAGCCTAAACTGGAGAACTGACAAAGATGTTTTAGTGGTGCTCATGAGAAGCAGGCCAAGAAAAGAAATAAGTGTTTTAATGGAATTTTGTTTTGTTTTAAAACAAGGTTATACTGCCGGGTGTGGTGGCGCACACCTGTAATCCCAGCACTCCAGGAGGCTGAGGCAGGTGGATTGCTGTGAGTTCAAGACCAGCCTGGACTACATAATGAGTTCCAGGTCAGTCTCAGCTACACAGTAAGACCCTGTCTCAAAAAACAAAAAACAAGGTTATACTATATAGTCCAGGGACTCACTATGTAGTCCAGGCTTGACTTGGACTACATATGCACCACCACACTCAGTCTTTAATTTTTTTTTTGTACCGGGAACTGAACTTGGGTCCTTGCACTTGTGAGGCAGGCGGCGTTTAAATTTTTATAGTATACCCCCCCAAATTTTTTTTCTCCAATAACTTCAAAATAAGAGAAACAAGTTATTATCTTCTAAGAATAAAATAGTAGAAGCCTACACATCATGCCCGATTCTAACCACAGATGACCATCAACAGATAGCTGGGGTGTCCAGAATGCTCAAAACATCCAAAAGGCCATCTAAGGAAGCTGAGGTATGATTTTATAGTTACACAACAATATAACAATGTGAATGCACTTAATGTCATTGAACTGTACAGCTAAAAATGGTTAATATGAAGTCAGGAGCGGCAATGCACACTTGTGAGCCCAGCATTCAGGAGGGTGAGGCAGAAAGATCACCAGTTTGAGGCTAACCTGAGCTACTTAGTAAGTTCAGGGCTAGCCTAGAACATCACAAGACATGTCAAACAAAAAGTTAAAATGAACTAGGAGTGATAATGCACACCTGTAATTCCAACTCTTCAGGAAGCTAAGGTGGGAAGATCTCAAGTTCAAGGCCAGCCTGGACAACCTGCCAAGACCTTGCCTTAGAATAAAATAAAACAAAACAAAATGGCTAGGGATGCAGCTCAGTACTCCCTGGATTCAATCTCCACTATTGGGGCAGAGGGGGTTTAAAAATTGTAAATTTTATGTTAGATATATTTTACCCTAAGATTTAAAGTATGTATTGAGGGGCCAGGAATGTTGCTCAGTGGCACTGCCACCTGCTTCAAAAGTACAAGGTCCCGAGTTTGATCGCTGATACCAAAATAATAATAATAATAATAATAATATAAAAATAAAATATTTATTGAGCCAGGTGTGGTGGGCATGCCCGTTATCCCAATACTTGGGAGGCTGAGGCAGAAGGATTACCACAAGTTCAAGGGCAGCCTGGACTAAAATACTGAGTTTAAAACCAGCTGGGACTACACAGCAAGACCTTGTCTCAAAAAACTTAAAAAAAAAAAAAAAACTTAAAAAAAAAAAAAAAAAATTT